TATTCGGACCGATTTATGAATTATGTGTGTATTTTGAAGGCTGCAGAATATGCGCTTTGCTGAATATGGTTCGTAGGCTTTATTTAACTTGAGTAGCTCAGTAGACTTAACTTTAAAAACTAATCAATCCACAGTCTAGTCTAGATTCTAGATCTAAATCTAGATTCTCTAGATCTAGATCTAAATCTAGATTCTCTAGATCTAGATCTTTCTAGATTCTAGATATAAGATTATTCTAGATCTACTCTAGAATCTAATCTAGATCTAGAATAGACTAGATTCTAGATCTAGCTAGAATGAGAATCATTCTAGAGTCTAGAGCTAGACTAGATTCTAAAACTTAAAGCTTAAGTAATAAGTTGGCCTGTAGATCTAGATCTAGATTTAAATCTAAATCTAGAAAAAGATCTAGATCTAGATATAGATTAGTATAGATGTTGATTTCTAGATCATGTAACCTTCCTTATTCTAGATCTTCATATTATATTATTCAAATTATAATCTTCATAATAAAAAGAGGGCTGAATAGTAGATCTAGTAGATATATATATTCATCTCGATATAGCACTGGAATCTAGCTTAACACAAATCATTGAAATTAACAGATACCAAAACTAAATCCTCCCCAAGCTTAAATCCTCATCACTTTCTATATTTTTAAGAAATATAAAATAAAGTCACTATTTAAAAAAAAAAATCACTTATACTTCCCCTCCCCCCCCCCCCCCTTCTACAAACCCTTATTTTATGAATGATCCCTTTGGGCATCTTAATTTGCTAATTTATATTATTTTATTTCTAGGCTATACACCACATAATAAAAATGATTGGGAAAAATTAACAGATGCAGCTAACTTGACTACTTATACCGCACCAGGTGACACCATTTAGGGGGGTGACACCAAGGCAAAAAATAGCAAAATATATAGTGAAAAATGATAATTCAACTTAATTAAGTGATTAATTCGAGTGTTAAATAGTAATTTAAGAGGTGCAAACAGAAAGTTTTTTAGGGGGGGTGCAAATTGAAAGTTTGTCCACGGGAAGGATCGCTACGCCTCTGGGGGGGGGGGGGGCGACACCATTAAGTGCCGCACCGGGTGACACCCGACCTCGCTACACCACTACTTATACCCTCTAGCAGTTTGCTTAGTCGAAATCAGTGTAACTTTAAAAAAAATTGTTGTGTGTTTGTTCTGTAGTGACATGACTTGTAGTTAGTGCTCTCTGTTTTGTTTACTATTCTAAATTATCCTATTTATTCGAGGGGTTATGTATATTAATTAACCCTTATTTTAACCATACCATTTATTCTGAGTAATACTACTTCTTAGAACATTTTTTTTGTAGTGGGCACAGTTAAAAATAATAACATTTTACCTAAAGGTAAACTTGTTATAAGCATATGACATGAAGTATAAAAAAGTGTGAAATTTTACAATTTTTCCAAAGTTAACCAAAATATTCAATAATTAAAGAAATTAATCAGTTTGGGGTATTAGGGCTAGAGATAGTGTTGACTGTGTTAGTAATATTTGTCAAACAGTTAAGTGGTATAAACCTAAAAAAAACATATCTTAGAAGAGGCATAAAAATAGCTTTATCAAACAAGAATACCCCAGTTGGTCAATGGACTAAAAAAAAGTATTAATTAATTCTGCCAGTTTAAGTAGGGGATGACTGCAAAAGGATTATATAGCAGCACTCTATATTTAAATACATTTAAAGGCAGTGTAAGGTTCTAATCCGTATCAATAAAGTACCATTAGAAATAGATAACATGTGTTTAAGAGAATTTGTTATAAATGTCTGTGTTAAAAAATAAGTGCTTAGCTGTGTTTAATTAACATTTATGATGAATGAGTCAAGCATTTGCACATTTATGAGGTGGGGGTAGCTCAACTATAATTGGTTCACTTTTTTTTTTCCATCAGTAACTTAAAATACTTAAATATAGATTCATTTCAAATATGGATATAATATATTTGATAATTGCTGTTTAGCAATTTTTATTTAAAGCCCTAACCACTTCTTGTTACAGCTTATATTGCATTTAATGGTAATTTTTTTATAGACTTATAAGATGACATTTATGTTAAATAGGGTAACACGTGGTAGAACTGAATAGCACATGAAAGCTAATTGGAACATTTCAAGTTTTATGCATACTGGATTCGAGGATGTCCCTGAGTTCATCCAGCTCCTACCTGAGTTGAGTCAGGAGAATCAAAGGTGGTAGGGTGTAGGGCTGACCACATACCTGAGTTGAGTCAGGAGAATCAAAGGTGGTAGGATGTAGGGCTGACCATATACCTGAGTTGTGTCAGGAGAATCAAAGGTGGTAGGGTGTAGGGCTGACCATATACCTGAGTTGTGTCAGGAGAATCAAAGGTGGTAGGGTGTAGGGCTGACCACATACCTGAGTCAGGAGAATCAAAGGTGGTAGGGTGTAGGGCTGACCACATACCTGAGTCAGGAGAATCTTAGGTGGTAGGGTGTAGAGCTGACCATATACCTGAGATGTCTCAGGAGAATCTAAGGTGGTAGGGTGTAGGGCTGACCATATACCTGAGTTGAGTCAGGAGAATCTTAGGTGGTAGGGTGTAGGGCTGACCATATACCTAAGTTGTGTCAGGAGAATCAAAGGTGGTAGGGTGTAGGGCTGACCACATACCTGAGTTGTGTCAGGAGAATCAAAGGTGGTAGGGTGTAGGGGTGACCACGTACCTGAGTTGTGTCAGGAGAATCAAAGGTGGTAAGTTGTAGGGGTGACCACGTACCTGAGTTGCGTCAGGAGAATCAAAGGTGGTAGGGTGTAGGGCTGACCACGTACCTGAGTTGAGTATAAGGCTGACCATACAATCCGATGATATGCTGAAATAAAAGAAGCAGGATTTCTACTTCACCTACTATATAGAGTGTTACGTTAAACATAATTACTTACTTTACCATATTTTAGGATTAGTGTTATAGAGTTGAGCTATATTTTTGTACGATGGATACCCGTTATCAAACATATTGTTTATATAATAAAACAAAGTACAAAATGATGTGCATATGAGGAAAAATCCACAATTTTTTTCCCTACTCCTATAGTTAACATAAACTAAAAATGAACAAGACCCTCAAACAAATAGTTACTGCATTTTTTTAAAGTACCTCTAACTGTGTGATAAAGTGTGTTTAGCTAGGCATAATTCTTATGGTCATTAAACTGGAATTGTATGGATGTAATTTATACTCAACCACATTACGTTCCCTTATATTAGTCAGATACCCATCTGCGCTGAATGAAATCAGGGCTAACTAGCAGACTAATCCTGGATTTAAAACATTTTTTTAAAATTAATTAATAGACGCTGAACCTGTGATAATAAACAACAAAAAATAGTTTTTAATTTTTGTATATGTTACATTCATGCAGTTAAAAATAGTTTCTTTCATCTTCTGTTTTTTTCTGGACATAAGTCAAGCTCAATTAATTATATTTTATTTTTTTACTGTCATGCCCCACTAGATTTGTGTTATGCAACATGTATATTGTTGTTAATATTTAGGTAATTGATTGAATCAATTTTAGTGAGTTTCTAATGATTTACAATATATTAAGTAAGCCGTATTGGGGTTTGCTGGTTTTCTTTGTCTTGTTGCATTTGTGTGGTACTGACTGTTGAGGGTGTGGTACTCACTGGTTGTTTGGGGGGGTGGGGGTGGTAATGAGTGGTTGATGGGGGGGGCATATGTGGAACTGAGTGGATGTTAACTGTGTGGTAATGAGTGATTGTTTAGTGTGGTTGTTTGGGAGGGGGGGTTCCTGTTTAAAATGGCTGTCCAGACAATCCTATTAAATGCTGTTATCAACACAATCCTGTTAAATACTTTGCACATTGACACAGCTCATCTTTGCCCTATGTATCGCAAGATCTAGTAACAGTTTTATATTAACCCAATCAATAATGACACAGCAGTGTACTGTTTAGCTGTTTCAAACTTAATTTGAAAGCCTTGAATATGGTAAATTATACTCCTCCAGGTAATTAACCAGTCTATTGAATGACTTTAAATGATGAGTAATATTATCATTAGAAAAGCTTTTTGTTTAAAAAAAAATTAGTGTACTTATTTTTTCTTCTTCTCTGTTCTTAATTTTAATATTGGAAGGTATTTCTTCCTGTACAATTATCACATGTCAACATTTTTATGCAACATATGGCCAATTGACTATGACTTACCCCTTCGTTTCTTTTTTTGGATATGCTCCCGTGGCCTTTGTTAACCCAAGAACAATCTGATCTGCAAGATATCAGTTGTTTGATTTTGGAGTTTTCTCAAGCCAGCAATTTTTTTCGAATAATTATTAGCTTTGTTAAAAGTTTATTATTTAAACTTAACCTTTTTTTTCCACGCATTTTGTTTTCTCCTAATACTTACATTTAGTTTTTTTTTAAAAAAAGGTAAAGGTACCCATTAGAGCTGGATCGACGTGCTCTAGGCCATGCCATCCCATCAAAGCTTTCAGTTTTAATTATAAAAATTTCTACTGTCCTGTTTGTAAAAACCAGTGACTACTTGTTATGGTTAATAATCAACAAGTGCTTTAAGTCTGCTGACGTCAGCAATATCCTCCCCTCATAAAGCTTATTGTCCAGTGTTATTCCCCAGCCATACAAGTTTGTTTTCTTTTCCCACCCACCTTTTCGTGGTTAATGGGGTTAAGTGAGCTAACACCAACCTGCGTCACTCTAATCCTGTTTTATATTTTAAACCCATGAACGTATCATTTAGTGTAATCCTGTTGCATCTTTGACATAACTCAGTTGAGTTATATTAGTATCTGAAAGTAGTTGAATTTTTCTAAACATTGTAATTATAAAAAAAACAGTTGTTTTTGAGCACATAAAAGTAAGCTTGACTAAAAAAAAATGTTAACAGCATGTCAATTACATAGTGAATTAATGTATATATCTCTTATTCAAACCATTATGTTATTTCTTCTTCAGGTTTGCCATCGGTGATAACATCCTTATTCACACAACTATTGTTAAAGGATTCATAGAAGCAGCTGCTAGCTATGTAAGTGTAAAACGTTTTTTTTTTTAAATTTAAAATTACTAGAGGGAAGCTTGTAGAGTATTTTTCTTGTTTTGTAAAATCAGCATGAATAAAATGTCCCGTCCATAAAGGAGATGATCACTTCATCACTTTTTATTAGCCTCTGCTTAAGGAGAAATTGCACGAACAGCACTTTGTTTCAGCTACCTTTATATTCCCTCATGTGTTAGCTAACACTTATAGTGCCTTTGATCCCTGAAAGTCTGTGGGGTAGATAAAGCAGACTTCATCTGTTTTTTTTTTTTTTTTTTTTTTTTTTTTTTTTTTTTTTTTTTTTTTGCAAGAAAGGCAGTGTATCAGAAAAACACTGTAAACAAGAACTTAAGTAATATAAAATGGCTTTAAATTTTTTTTTTTTTTTTTATTATATTATTCAGCACAGTAAAGTAACCAGGAAGAGTTTATAACTGTTTTGTTGTTTTAAAGTGCCTTTTTATTCAACAGCTCAACTAAACTAAAAATTGACTTTAATTATTTTAAAATTTTTTCTCACAACAGCTCAAGATGATGTTTCGTCGAAAAAAAGTATTGCTGGAATGAGAACATCCCTTAGAACTATTTCCCAGCCCGACACATTCAGCAGGCAAGTCCCCTCAGTGATCACATTGGACCAGACCAGGTCTGGTCCTAGGACCACCAATGAATATGTGGATAGCCCCCGCGCTCAGCCTCCACTTCCACTCAAGCCCCAGCTTGTCACACTAGTTGGGGTTGGGAGCAGCTCGCCAGGATTCGCCCACAGGATCAGCCACACCACCCGGGGAGCCCTGACGCCCACCCCCTCACCGGTTGTCTCGCAGCAACCAGCGTCCAAATCTCCGCCTCTGAAGGAACCGGTGAATTTACTAGATGGGACCAGAGGCGGGGATGGGGGTGCCAACGGTGGGAGCGCCCTGGCCAGAGCTGGACTTAACCACGGAGAAGGTATTATTTGTGAGCAGTGCGGCAAGTGTCAGTGTGAGTCGTGCACGGAGCCGCGCTCGCTGCCGTCGCACTGGTGCTGCCGCAACACCTGTGAGGTGAGCCCGGACAACGTGCTGGAGGTGTGCACATGTTTCTGTTGTGTGAAGTGCATGTTCTACCACTGCGGGGCGGAGGAGGATAACCCGTGCTACGAGAACCCGTGCGGGTGCTGTTCGACGCCCCACTGCTGCCAGCGATGGACTGTGATGGGGATGATGTCACTCTGCCTCCCCTGCTTATGGACTTACTGGCCGGCCAAGGCGTGTCTGGCCGCTAGCACTTCCTGCTACAGGAGGTGCAGGCGCAAAGGTTGTCAGTGCAATGTGAAACATGATAAGACTTCTGTGCTTTCAGTTGGAGGAGTAAGTGGCGGAGTCGGTAGCAGTGTAGGTGGAGGCGTAGGCATTGGGGGTCACTCCAAACATTCGCAGACACGGCGGCTTTTGATAGAGTCAGACTCATCCAGTGCGTAATAGTGATATCAGTTTCTTTATTTCTGATTCTGTTTGAATCTCGGGGGTTTATTTTTAAAAAATAACTATTATTTATTATAACTATTAATGTTGTTATTATTATCGCTACTGTTGTTAGTCTATTACTTGTCTATTTGGATGTCCTTTAAGCCACGGTGTACTCTCTACCACTAGAAGTATTACTGTGGAGTTTTTTCTTTACCATGCTGAATATTCTTTGGTAGCCGAGTGAGAACATATTCAATACACAAACCCATGGAGCTGTTTCCAAACAATCATTCGGATTGCATTCTCATGGAGCTTGTTGATATAGACCAATCCTCCTTACTAGTCAATGAACAAAGTGGATATATCGACACTTTTTTCTGTTACCATAGTGATGTATTTAAAACAAAAGTTGGTTTGCTGTTGTTACTTGTAAGTAAAGACAGAAAATTATATTTCAGTTAAACAAAAACATTTTGCTCATATTGAGGTTATTAATTTTTTTGAGAATTATCGAGAAAAAAAAATGGCGGTTGGAATTGTTTTTCATTATTTTTCACTCATGTAGTTGTTGGTTTTATTTAATGACGTTACTTGTGTATTAGTATGCTTCTTTGTTGTGAACTTAACTCATGCGTATAGTGATCAGCTCTTTGGACTGAATTCAACTGAAATGTAAAAAAACAACATGAATTTGTAGTTTAAATTATTGCATTACCTGAGAGGTCAATAGTATATAAATGCTCAAAGACCTGTTCGTGATGATGAGTTTATTAAAAAAACAAACCACAAAGCCGTTTTAGTGCCAATGAATGAAACAACATATAGGTTGTAGTCAAATTAGTAATAGAATCTTGTAACTGTTAGTAGCGTAGATTTTACTAATGTTTATTACAAGCAAAGAATAGCTAGTAGTTCATTATGCTGTTAATTTGTATATATATAAATATAACATTAGTTACAAACCAATTGATGTATTATATGAAATCACATTTTTTTGGCTCTCATTCAAAATCATACATGTAGCCATTGTGAGAATATAAACTTGTATATCAAAAAGACAGTATTTTATTATGTTTTCCAACATTAAAACAATCCCACACATTTTTTTTAAGCTTTCAGTTTAGTAGGTAGTAAGTCAAAAACTAGGACTGCATTAAATAAAAACAACCAGTTTTGTTGCTGGGGTAGTGATCCAATTGATGTAACAGCCATTAAGTTTTTTTTAGACATCATTGTTCATCTTATACCTTGTATTCAGTGAAGTATTAATATTGTTCAAATTTTTTTTCTTGTATCTGAGTTGTAGCTCATCTTTTATTTTGTATTGAGTTATTATCAGCAGTTAATTCAGATGAAAAATCTGTTTTTTTTTTTTTGCGTCAGTGGACTAAACAGTTTTAAAGTTAATTGTTATGTTTTGTATGGTTATATTTGCTCTGTAATTTTAATCTGATGTTCATCAGTTCATGTTAGCTACAATGTTAATATATTCCAATCTTTTTTTTTATATAGAAAAGACCAGATCTTCCTATATCCTATAGAATTATACTTATAAATAACAGGGCTTCTCAAATTTTCTTTTTTTACATGACACCCATTACTAAATTTAGAAAAAAATGACGCAGCCCTAATTTTTCCCCATATATTAAAATGGATTCGAGACAATATTTAAATTTCTTTCATCCAACTGTTGTACAATCCAGTCTGGGGTCATGGCGTTTACTTTGAGAACCTCTTCATAACCATGTACCTGTGTTTTTCGCCTCAGTGTTGATCACTGTTCAGTGTTACTTCTCCTATTTAAATGGCATTTGTAGACTCCCACTACTGTACATTACAACTACATTCATCCATGTTGAGTATACCATTGTCCCCCTTCTCCCCCTCCCCCCAGCGCTGCTCACACATACATACGTGCTCTGGTTAAACATACACAACTTCACATACATGCTGGTTGTCAATCGACAGTGACCACTTTTTTAACAGTTTGACTCTCATAGTAAAAGAAAAAAATTAAAGGAAAATCTAAACAAAAAAACACAAGGCATCTAAAGATAGATGACTTTATATAGGTTGTAGTTGGTAGTTTTCTTCCTGTTCTATCATGAGCTTAGGGTCTATAGTGACTAGAGATGGAGAAACTAGTTCTAATAAGCAGTACAATAACTTTCTTTATGGTCCACAGTGAATGGAAATATTTATTATTTATTTCACTTTAATCCTTCACAATGAAACAAGTATCTCTAGAGGAATGCTTTAGTCCACTGTTCAGCATCATCTATTGGCATATGTATATATATGCATCTATGTTTATACACATGTTGTTATATTTAATATACATAGATGCATATATATAAACATGATGAGCTTAAACCACGCCAGTACCAGCGACTCTGTACGGTCTTGGTGGCTCATTAGTGTCTGATGTGCATGGAGTTGTCTGGCCATCATTTGGTCATTTACAACACTGGTCAGTGATGTCCGAGTGGTGGACTTTGTTGTGGTCATCTACCACATTGGTCACTGATGGACTGTTGTGGTCAGTGATGGACTGTGGTTGTCATCTACAACATTGGTCAGTGATGGACTGTTGTGGTCATCTACAACATTGGTCAGTGATAGACTGTTGTGGTCATCTACAACATTGGTCAGTGATGGACTGTTGTGGTCATCTACAACATTGGTCAGTGATGGACTGTTGTGGTCATCTACAACATTGGTCAGTGATGGACTGTTGTGGTCATCTACAACATTGGTCAGTGATGGACTGTTGTGGTCATCTACAACATTGGTCAGTGATAGACTGTTGTGGTCATCTACAACATTGGTCAGTGATGGACTGTTGTGGTCATCTACAACATTGGTCAGTGATAGACTGTTGTGGTCATCTACAACATTGGTCAGTGATGGACTGTTGTGGTCATCTACAACATTGGTCAGTGATGGACTGTTGTGGTCATCTACAACATTGGTCAGTGATGGACTGTTGTGGTAAGCTACAACATTGGTCAGTGATGGACTGTTGTGGTCAATGATGGACTGTTTTGGTCATCTAGAACACTGGCCAGTATGTCCGAGTGCTGGACTTTCTATTGCTACAACAGATGTGATGATACCTGTGTACAGTCTTGTCAAAAGCTCAAACATGTGCATAGACAGCTGGGTTGTACTTTAGTAAGGCTGAAGAACTGTTGGCTGTGGGGGCTAATGCTAATGATGGTGGTAGTTCATGCTAGTCTAGAGTATTGTTTGGTAGTGGTAGCTAAGGCTAGGTTAGTTTGGTCTTGGTAGTTCAGGCTAGGACATTGTCTAGTAGTGGTAGCTAATGCTAGGTCAGGATGGCAGTGATAACTTAGGCTGCTGTTCGTTTAGTATTGATAACTTACATGTTTGCTAAATGTAAAGCACTGTTTGGTAATCTTCTTTTGAATTCTAAGGTTAAGAAATGTATCCCAAGGAAGTCGTTTTGGTAACTTGCATTGACTATAGTGTAACTTGCTTGGCAAGCATAATATTTGGTAAATTTCTGTGTTCAGGTAATAGGCCAACTTGGAGTATTTTTGTGTAGGGTTGTGTTATGGGGTTCTGTTTCCATAGTAGGAGTAGGGTGATGAATATTTTAGCTGAAGTTGGTTGTACAGTACATACAATGATTTAGATTGATACTGATCAGAAAAAACTAGCTCAATGTAAAGCTACAGCATACCTGGTGATCTATCGTTAAGATACTTAGGTGTTTCCCACACCAGGTCTTTATATCTTCCATTGGAGTCACACAACTCAACTCAATTAGGTCTTTCCATTCATTGGTATCTAGTCTGGCTGTCGTGTAGACAAGGTCTCAGTACTCAAGATTCCTACTCCTCTAGACTAGTGTTGTATCATCTTGGCAACAATATACGTGTAGCCCATTCAAATCAGCATTGCGTTTTATTTTATATTTTTGTTCTGGTGATATCCCTCGGATAGACGCATTCATCATATCCCACAACGCTGCAGGATTCCAACTCTAGTGACCTACGGCTTGCTCTTGTTATCTGCTGTTCTATGACTGCTTTAATAACAGGACACATTTTTTTCTGTCTGCCAGGGATGTAGTCGGTAGAGGGGGTCATTGTATGATTAAGACATGACCCCCTCTTTTTTATATACTCGTATACTAGATAACCCTGTCGTGTTTCATATAAAATATCAAAATTGTATAGCTAGATGGTTTATTTAAAAATAAATTGAAATGAAGGTTGTGTGGCCTTTAGGCAGAAATGTCAGTTATGTGAGTTGGGGTTCTGTTGAGGGGTATAGATGTTGGAGATTTGTGAGCTGGGGCTCTGTTGAGGGGTGTAGAGTGATATGAAGATTACAAACACTCTACTGTGATATTTGTTTCGTTGGAATTTTTTTTTTTCTTTCTTCCCTCCCAGTTTTACAAAAGTTGTCGTCAAGACTTTTGTTACGTTATTGAGTGTCATGTTATCAAACAATCTGATAATATTGCCATGCAAATGTAAAATGGAACATGTACTATATGTATGGTTGTATTAAACACACTGTAAATACTACCATATGCCTTGGTTGTTTTTGTATTATAATTAATTAGAGAATTTGATTATTATAACGGTGATACAGACAGTGCCATGAATTGTCATTTCTACAGGATATGAACTAGTTTAGTCATTCAGGCAATGCTATGACATTACTACAGGATATGATCATATGTACTAGTTCGGTCATACATGCACTGTTATGACATTACTACAGGATATGAAACTAGTTCGTTCATACAGGCAATGTTATGACATTTCTACAGGATATGTGAGCTAGTTCAGTCATACAGGCAATATTAAGCCCTTTTTTTTACTTTCTCGTATATACGAAGTATAGAGAAAGTCTTGTAATCTCACTGATACGGAAAAACATAATTTTGCAATCTTGTCCGTATGTCTGTCTGTGTGTCCGTGTGTAAACACAATAACTTGAGTACCGTTACAGCTAGGTTGATGAAATTTCATATATAAGTATTTTATCAAAATCGTAGATCCGTATCAACTTTTGAGCGATTTCCGATAACCGGAAGTGGTACTTTTCCTACTTTGAATTTTTCAAAAGCCTATAACTTGAGTACAATTTCAGATAGATAAATGAAATTTCACATGTAAGTAAAAGATCTAATTCTCTACCTTCTGTTAAATTTTGAGTAATTTCCGTTGACCGGAAGTAGTAATTTACGCTACTTCCTATTTCTCAAAAAACTAATGTAATTTTTAAAAGTACTAATAATATTGCGCACTATTATGCGCTTTTTTATTTGGCGTTCACTTGGTGTGCAATTAATTTGTCTAAGAGATTTTATTCTATTTTTAAAACTTTAAGTATTTAAAATGGATTAAAAATCATGTCTATAGCCCGAGTTCCCATCCCCTGTTATTTTATATAAGAATATTCGAGAAAGTTTAGGGGAGATCACTCCCGGTTTATTTACAGGATATGAACTAGTTCGGTCATACAGGGAATGTTATGGCATTTCTACAGGATATGAACTAGTTCGGTCAGGATATGTTAAGCCATTTTACAGGATATGTGAGCTAGTTCGGTCATACAGGCAATGTTAAGTCATTTCTACAGGATATGAACTAGTTCGGTCATACAAGCAATGTTATGGCATTTCTACAGGATATGAACTAGTTCGGTCGTACAGGCATTGTTATGACATTTCTACAGGATATGAACTAGTTCGGTCGTACAGGCATTGTTATGACATTTCTACAGGATGTGAACTAGTTCAGTCATACAGGCACTGTTAAGCCCTTTTTTACAGGATATGCACTAGTTCGGTCAGGATATGTTAAGCACTAAGTCAGTCATTCAGCTGCTAGGCACGCGTAGTCCACTAGACCGTTCCTTTACCCGACAACATATTTGGTACCCTGTCCCGGCTACTATGTGGAATACACCCGAACACTTTTCATAATGGGAAATACTATTATTTTTTTTTCTAATTTCTGGGCAAATATATGGGTGGATTGTCTCATAGTAATTAAGTCACTTTTTAATTGGCGTGGATGCGTAATTGAAACAGTCATTAACGCTTTTTTTTTGCCTAGAAAATTTTGCTTAGAAAATCACAGGTCGGACCCAAATAAGGAATGTATTAAACACCAAACTTTAAAATTAATAAGTAGATGATGGCATCTAAACAAAAAAGGGATCCTCGACCGCCACTAACGGCGCTGGGGTCCCTTCCTGTTCAGCCCCGGTGCCAGACCTACCCCAGGGCACTGACCCCGGGTTGTGGTAAAAAAAAAAATCCTTTAATCTGTAGACGGTTGTAAGTGGTTGTAGCAGATGAGATCTCTGCCGCTCCACTCACCGGAAGTCTGGTGTGTGTCATGTGACGTGTGTGTGGGGGGGGGGGGGGGGGGTCAGGGTTTCTCCCAGTCTGGGTTGCAAACATGATGGATAGTAGGTTTACAATGGGAGGTTTAGGGATAGTATGTTTACAATGGGGTGTTTCAGTTTAAGGAAGATAGTACTTACATTGGATGTTTCACTTTTGGGATAATAGGTCTTACATTGGATGTTTCACTTTTGGGATAGTAGGTCTTACATTAGATGTTTCACTTTTGGGATAGTAGGTCTTACATTGGATGTTTCACTTTTGGGATAGTAGGTCTTACATTGGATGTTTCACTTTTGGGATAGTAGGTCTTACATTGGATGTTTCACTTTTGGGATAGTAGGTCTTACATTGGATGTTTCACTTTTGGGATAGTAGGTCTTACATTGGATGTTTCACTTTTGGGATAGTAGGTCTTACATTGAATGTTTCACTTTTGGGATAGTAGGTCTTACATTGGATGTTTCACTTTTGGGATAGTAGGTCTTACATTGGATGTTTCACTTTTGGGATAGTAGGCCTTACATTGGATGTTTCACTTTTGGGATAGTAGGTCTTACAATGGATGTTTCGCTTTTGGGATAGTAGGTCTTACATTGGATGTTTCACTTTTGGGATAGTAGGTCTTACAATGGATGTTTCACTTTTGGGATAGTAGGTCTTACATTGGATGTTTCACTTTTGGGATAGTAGGTCTTACATTGGATGTTTCACTTTTGGGATAGTAGGTCTTACATTGGATGTTTCACTTTTGGGATAGTAGGTCTTACATTGGATGTTTCACTTTTGGGATAGTAGGTCTTACATTGGATGTTTCACTTTTGGGATAGTAGGTCTTACATTGGATGTTTCACTTTTGGGATAGTAGGTCTTACATTGGATGTTTCACTTTTGGGATAGTAGGTCTTACATTGGATGTTTCACTTTTGGGATAGTAGGTCTTACATTGGATGTTTCACTTTTGGGATAGTAGGTCTTACATTGGATGTTTCACTTTTGGGATAGTAGGTCTTACATTGGATGTTTCACTTTTGGGATAGTAGGTCTTACATTGGATGTTTCACTTTTGGGATAGTAGGTCTTACATTGAATGTTTCACTTTTGGGATAGTAGGTCTTACATTGGATGTTTCACTTTTGGGATAGTAGGTCTTACATTGGATGTAGCCACATCTACCCACCCTCCCCACCTCCTTTTTCTGGAAACATCTGCTACCGCAGGGCTAGATAGGATGAGGTAGGGAAAAAACCCATGGAGAAGATCAAAGGACAATGAATTGAAGGAGAGAGAACTAACGCTCGACAGACAGAGACGGAATGAAACGGTGCTAACTTGTTGATGCCTCGTGCCCCAGTGGGTGTGTTGAGGGATGATGAATCGAAATATATCTACATCATCAACGAGACCAACCATTTTTAATTATGAAAATGCATTTATGTGCATCCTTGACCTTTATACGCCTTTTATTGAGAGTATGAGTAAACTCAAGCATTCATTGTCATTGTCAGTTAATGCAGTCATCCTCTGTCAGTGTGGGTCATCACATCACCAACAGTTCATACAGAGTTAAGTTTCACGCCCAGCTGTCGATCTCTGATTAGAAGAAAATTCTATTGGCAGGCTTTACCTACCCAGCACGCAGTCGACGGCGACTAGCTGGCACGCAGTTCTAAAGTCAAGCAGCTGAAAATAACAAATCTTTAGGCCGGCAATTGAGCTAGGTCAGAGGATTTAGAAGCTTTAATTCATATATATATGTATATATATATATATATATATATATATATATATATATATATATATATATATATATATATATATATATATATATATATATTTATATATATATATATATATATATATATTTATATATATATATATATATATATATATATATATATATATATATATATATATATATATATATGTATATATATATATATATATATATATATATATATATATATATATATATATACACACATACATAGCGACCCTTCCCGGCGCCCGGGGACAAACTTTTCGATTTGCATCCCCCCCTCAAGATTTCGATATATATACCTAATCAAATATTATAATATTGAAATACATTACTTTAAAAACTGTGAAATGTGGTAAATTGTAACTTTTGGCTCTTCCGTCCCAAAAGGTTGCCGACCCCTGACATAAGCAAACACATTTTTAAAAGTTCACCAACCCGCGACTTCTTAGTTATATCAAAGTTCCGGAGCCTAACATCATGTAAAAATTTAAACATTGACAAGAACTAAACCTACTCCTAATCCCCCCTTACCACAAATGCACTCCCTCTCAACCCCCTTCCCCTATAAAAAACTAAAGACAAACTATATACTTTTGATATACACTACGTATTATATATATATATATATATATATATATATATATATATATATATATATATATTCGTATTCGAATGCATGTTTAAATAGCCATACTGAGCGGTTGCGTGCAAGCTCAGCTTCCGCCCTGTCCATTGGAAATCAAGATGGATGTCAGCTTGGCCAAGTCCATTTTAGGCTATAGGGGTGGAAGGACTTTATTAATGAATGAAGTTGAATTTACCTAGCCCAACAGAATTATCGACGTATTTTTATTTTATTAAAAACACACTTTCGCGGATAATTAAAGCCATATTAATAATACAGTGATACCCAATGAGGCTTGATAAATTCAATACGGTAAATTAAAAAAAATCAATTTTAGCTGGGCGATTAAAAAAAAATCGGATAATACTTCCTGGTTGTCCTCTAGCTTTGCTTGCATCATGTGAGAAGTGGGCCTTTCTGTTGTGAATCAATTTTTTTTTACCATTATTTATACAACGCCAATTATGAAGTTAGTTTTCCAGTTTTGTCATTTGGTTTTATTTTAACAATGAGTCGATACAATATTTTTGCTGTGCCCTGAAATGCTTACTGGGTCTAGCTTAGATAAGCATGTGGGGGTTTAACTTAAGATTAGGATTTTTTGCTTTTGAAATTCTGATGTGTTAGCATTGTTTCTTCCAGACTTTTTTCTCCGGGGTGGGGGGGGGGGTGTACTAAAATTTCCGAGGGGCGGAGGGAGGGGGTAGACTTTCTTCGGGGGGGGGGGGGAGGGCGAAGAGATGCCTGAGTAACCCAACATGCCTATATTTAGTGAAAAGAA